AAAAAATAATTATAACTAGCTAGGGAAAATTATAGTATTATAAAAAGTACTAAAGATATAAGGATATATTTAGTAATTAGAAAGCTAATAATTAATATTATTAAATAACTTTAAAAAGAATTATATATATATTATAATAGGAAGGTTAAACTATTAAAGGTTTTATTAATTAAGTTATTTAGGCTAGCTAGAAAAGTTAAAGTATTAATACTTTTACTAAGGTAAGTTATATCTAGGCTAGTAATTAGAAGCTTTAAAAGCTAAGAGAATATAAGCTAACTAAGTTTATAAGATTAATATATAATAATTTTTAATACGATAGATTTGAAGTGTAAATTATTCAAGACCCTTCCAGCCACGTGCACAGAACGACGTTTATTACCAAGCTGCTTGCTAAGTGAGTTTATCAGTCTTTTCAGTCTTGCAAGTAGGAAGATGCCCGCTCTTGTACAGAACAAATATAGAAACTGATTAATTCTTGTGCGATGGTATAAAGAATAAAGAAATACCCAAAGGGAGTTCCCAAAATGACCGAATAGAAGAGCAATGATACATGAATCCCTCGTTGGCCTGATCCTATACGAGTCCATTTAAGTCTACAATCAGTAGCCTTGATAAATGGAGGGATCCTGAGGACCCTCAGCAGTTACAACGTAGCCTGACATGGACATATTAAAGCTGGCAGAATTCTTATCTGCAGTATGGAGGTAGGAACTGTCGTACTTGTTCTTCAATGCATCCTTCAATGAGTTGACATCACCATCCGGATGGAGAACCTTCCATGGCTTGATGCAAGTCTCACCCTTACAACTCTTCATTGCCATGAGAAGAGCATCCAGACGACTCACAATACTGAGGAGCGGCTTCTTGTTGATCTTGACATTGGAGCCGGCGTATGATGCAATTGGCATACCAGTGCCGTTCTTACCAGAAGGGAGAAGATTGTTGATTTGATAAGGGTCGACCTGCAGCGTCATAGTTAGAGCCGGCATCTTAGTGGAAGTAGACAAAGGATACCTACTGTCATGTCATAAAGCTCATGCTCGTTCGTGCAATGGACCGCGTAATAAAGGTTGTAGTCTTTGCTGTGCAGACGAATTCCCTTGTACGTGTTCAAATCACTCATGATCACGCCTGTAATAGAATCTGTCAACATCTCTTCCGAATTAAGCGAGAGAAAGGTCAATCCTTCGGCTTTAACTTACTATCGATTCCTTCATCAGCTGCCAGCCCCCAGAACTCAATACCAATGTGTTCAGCACGCCTCTGAGAAGCTCGTTCAAGTTCATCACCAGTAAGTGGGACCGCGAGACCGTCGAACTCATGCCGTGGCTTGACTCCCGCCATGCGAAAGATGGATGGTGCAAGATCGGTGTGGCTTGTCATGGCATCACTGACTACACCCTTGGGAACTCCTGGCCCACGAATAAGAAGCGGAACATTGATATCTTCCTCAAATCCACACTGTTTTCCAGGCGGAAGGCGATGCTGGCTGATGTGATAGCCATTGTCGCTAGTGTAGATAATATAGGTGTTATCCATAATGTCCAGAGACTCGAGCTCTTTGAAAATTCTGTCGACCATTTCATCAACAGCCAGCAGAGACTCTAGACGTAAGCGAAAGAAATTGTCGCCGTAGTCTACGTAAGTCTGGTTCAGGCGAGGGCGTTGTGCTACCCAGCTGACACCATTCGGCTTGGCTTCATCTTAGCACTTATGACTAATGGAATCACGGTCTTCCTTACCTCTTTTGGGTTGAAGTTGGGCGTCCTGGGGAGCTTGAGATCGCGGACCATGTCGGTGTGGCGCTTAGCAGGTTTCGGGGGCAGGATAAGAGGTTGAATGCTGGGGTCTGTTGGAGAGATGGTCCCGTTATATGTATCTGGACGCACGACAACTTCGGAATGGGTAGCAATGGGGGCACTACCGATGAAGAATGGCTTGCCAGCAGCATGCGCCTCCCGAATGTAGTTGATCGTCTTATCGGACAGGTCATCAGTATTGTAAGTTCCCTCACGACTGACGGGAGCGCCCTGGTCCTTTTGCCACGTAGCGTTCCAGTAGCTATACGTAAAAGGTTTGAAAAGGAAGTCAGAAGAAGTCTAGCCGGCGGCATGAGGCTTGTTATGATTTTCAACAGTGTATGCTTTAAAGAGCTTGCCAGTATAATAGGTATTGCGTCCAGCTTCTTGGAGCCAAATGGGCAGGTAGTTGCTGTTGAATCCCTCGGTGATGAACTTGGGGCATCCACCTACTTCCCGTTACCATCGAGGAAGAATTGTAACCTAGGGGTGAGTGACTACCATACGGTGCAATGACGTCGGTCATATTGGTATTGTGTGAAAGTCTCTATGTCAGTCCAAGTGCTAGAACACTTCCGTTCTGACATACCAATAATGACTTGTATACAGAGTTCCCCATCTGCTTCTTCAACAGTGCCATGTGCTTGAGAGATTCCATATGCACATCTTGATCATCCACCAAGACTAAGATGATTTTTGGTTTCGTCTTGGATGAGACAACAAATGCTGCTAGCGATGCAAGCACACCAAAGATGCGAAGAAGCATGTTTCTGTTTGAGGTTTCAAAGAGGAGGGTGTACGTAGGACACCTAGGAGTGGATAGTCGTGCGATGAACTGTGTGAAAGACAATGAACAACGCTTCCCTTATAATTTAAGGCATCAATATAGATCCCTCGGGGAATGTCTGATAAATGAAATGTTGGAGATCGTGTACTTGCCGAGGAAGGTTGACACGTAGCATTGTCACCAATCACATGTGAGTCTATACGAAGCGCAGCCATAACGGGGTGTCGCAACTTGTTTATTACCGTGACCCGTTGGCATTTATAAATACCCGATACACTAGTGGCTCGCAGCCAATATCTCCGAGTCCCGTTATCGACGTCATGACCGGGCATTTTTATGTCGGTTGCTATAGATGCACTCACATAGTTAACTCTAAATCCGGCCTTACAAGACCCTTGTATTTATTGCACCAGGATCGTGTGTTTATCATAGACAGGGGCCTCGTATTCAGAGCCAATCAACTTCCCCAGCCCGATGGAGCTCGGGTTGCGGTACAAGGCACTAGGCAAATGATAGTTACGAGTAACCTAGCGGATGTGACGGATGTTATTGCAGACAAACAAAGCATGTCTCAGATTTTCTCCAAACAACTTATGACACAAGTTCAGCTGCCATCAGACTGCGGTTTGCCGCGCGGCAGTGCACGTCTGAGCACAGCGGGCGTTTCAAGTATTTATTTTCATTCATTATTGAGTAGTCCGACTGTTAACATCGTTATATAAGGCCTGCAGCATTTCTACATTTCAGATATGCAACAAGCGAACCGTTTTATCACCCTCTATCTATATCTTATCAGGCCAACTATCTTCCAATCACCCTCTAAGCAATCATGGCGAAATGCAAAGAGCATCCACTCGATATTGATAGTGTGTCTCAATTCACTATAACCAGAGGTCTAACCCCCTAACTTCTTTTAGTCGATGAAAAGGACTTGAGCATCGGATTGACGACTCATGGTCTTCTAATTCTTGTCGCTACCTTATCTTGTCTCGTGGCATGTCTGGTCTCGGCCTTCCTGATATATAAGCATGCACAAGACTTTACCAAACCTTCACAGCAGAGACAGTGGGTTCCGATGCATCACAAACTGCTTGGCCATTACTGACCTCTATTTCTTTCAGAGTGATACGAATACTCTTTATGGTGCCTGTATATTCCATTGCATGCCTCTGTAGTATAATCTTCTACCGTCAGCACGTTTACATCGCCACCACCTATGAGTTCTACGAATCGCTTATCATTGCCGCCTTCTTCCTGCTTCTTTGCCAACTTCTGCATGTCAACCAGGCTACCTTGCAGGTTGGCCTTGCTGAACTTCAAACTAAGCCCTGGATACCCCCTATTCGTCTAGTCGCCTACTGTTTTGGCAACAGGACAGGGACGGCTTTAAATGGCTATAGATGGTTCAATGTGAGTTTTGCATGTTATTATGCATGCAGCCTTTGCCGTTTTGAAACATATTAATTGCTCTCCGCTTAGATCATTTGTGCTGGTGTGCTGCAGTTTTGCGTTGTTAAGTTTCTTGGAGCGCTGGTCACATGCATTACTGAAGCTGCAGACGTATATTGCGAAGAGTCAAGCAGTGCTTCCCATGCTCACATCTGGGTAAGAGCCCTTGGACTTGTTAATTTATAATACTAAAGCTTATAGGTAATGGTGATTGAGATTATATCCCTGGTTTCAGCCATGATGTGCCTGCTGCAGTTTTACAAGGAGGTCCATCGCCAAATTGCTAAACATCAACCCATGTTGAAATTTCTGGCTATCAAGCTAGTTATTCTGGTGTTTTACATACAATCAGTATGTTTTACAGATTTTATTTAGCATGGCCAGCCCTTTGCAGCAGAACAATACTGATCAATATCTCTTGTAGTTTATCTTTAATTTTCTCACCAAGCCAGGTGGACCTGTGAAGCCTACCGCATATATCTCCTACCCATCTTGGGCGGTTGGTCTCCCCAATACACTTCTGTGTATCGAGATGGTATTCGTGTCCGTTCTGCACCTCTACGCCTTCCCATATTGTCCATACAAGAACAACCAGACTTGTAGCAACGAGGGTTCTGAAGTGCTTGCACAAACACATCAATCAGAAGGCAGATATCAGGGGCTAAGTACCGAAGACTTTCACTACGACTCAATCTGGTCTGAGGGAACCAAGTGGTCTGCTAAGCCCCAGACATCAGCCAGAGGTGCAGTCCTAAAAGCGCTATCCTTTCAGGAAATTCTGCAGGGAATTGGAACAGCTGTAAAGTGGCTTTTTGTTTTGCGAAGATGACAACATTAATTTCTCACCTCGTTGAACATGCATTTTATTGTGCCCCAAGCAGCCCAGCCCTCTCTGTTTGTTCAGATTGAGCCGACTCTGCGATTTAGGTAGCTTGACCTCAGGGGGTAAAAAAGCTCAGACCTAAATATAGAGCATAAAAAATGAACTCATTAAAAGACATCCTAAACTTATCCTAAATTACCTAAATCTTTTTATCATTTAGGATCAAGGTCCTTAGATTTCTTTCCCCTCCTAGCCCAGTAATATTAAACGGACCGCTAACCTAATTCAAGAAAACGAAGCTCTTTTAATCGAAGCCACAATGCTTATTATAGCTAATTTATGCTTTATATCATAGTCACAAAGCGGGGTTGCAGTTAGTGATAGTGTCTCTTAAACTAACCTGATTTAGCAGTTACCTATTCCCTTAAACAGCACTTAGAGAGTCAGACAAGCTCATTTTGCCGCTTTCGCTCTCTAGTCAAACTACATAGCCAAGACGGATGAACTGTCCGTTAATCGGAGCTCGTGCCATCGTCTGACCCAGCGACATTATGGCCTTTCAGTCTGAACAGCGTGACGCTCAGTTCAACGCCCTCATCGACGTTCTGCACAGTGTCAAGAGCAACATATTCGATCCCTTCACCATCACTCGAACATATTATGAGTCTGCAGGGATACACATCGGTGTTGACATTTTAATTCCTCGTCGCCTCAAAAGCCAGAACCCACCAGTCATCGTCAGAATCCACGGCGGCTTCCTGGTATGCAAGCCTCATTTTAGCACTGAACATTGAGCTGACTTCTTTATCAGATCACTGGTTCAAGTTTGTTTCCTGCCTGGTTCTCCAAGTGGGTACTTGACTTTGCAGAGGAACAAGATGCCATTATCATCAGTCCCAATTACAGGCTTCTGCCTGAGGTGAAGGGTCGGGATATCATTCATGACATGGGAAACTTTTGGAACTGGGTGCACTCTGGAGGGCCTTCGCGCCACCTCGTAGCGATTGGGCAGCACAAGCTTCAACTGAATCTCATCAGAACGCTCGTCGTTGGTGGAAGTGCCGGTAAGCTCGAATCATATAATGCCAACTCATGCACCATTCACTAACCGGATCATCTGGTTGCAGGCGGATATCTGGCTCTACAGTCTGTGCTGGCAGGCTTTGTGAGACCCAAGGCGATTATAGCCCTCTACCCAATGGTCGATATGAAAGCGGCTCACTTCAGCAAGTCCTACGACAAGTCAATCGTTGGTGTACCAAACTATGCCAACGAAGATGTCAACACGTTCCTTTCCACCACCGCAGTGAAGCCTGCAATCACCGAGGCAGACCCGCCTGTGAGACTTGACTCAGCCATGGCAGTTGTGCATAACGGCCGGTATCTGGAACTTCTCGGTGAGGACCCTGACTTGTTCATTCTCGATCGCATCAAGAAGATGGCCTTGACTTCTGCAAACTATGAGAAACCGTTATTTCCGCCTCTATTTCTGCTCCACGGCGATGGAGATACTGCAGTGCCTGTTGATGGTACTCAGAAGCTGGTAGATTACCTGCAGCGGTTTGACCCAAGTACTCAGATTCATTTGGCTATCAGACCTGGAGACCATGGATTTGACTTCAAGGCTACCATTAATGAGGCTTGGTTGAGGCAAGGTTTGGATTTCGTCGTTGCTCCATGGCTAGATAGCAAGAGTCTCATCTAGACGACTATAACCCAAATTGTTCTTTTCCATCTTTCTTAAGACCTACACAAGCAGAGTATAGGCACAATATTCAGATCAAGAATGCGATATATTAACAAGTGGCCCAGGATATATAGTATTATCTTGTATTTATTTATTATGACTTCTAAAGATAGCGGTTTAAGAGTAATACTCTGATCATAACCTCGCAACCTATTCAAGAAACATTTTAGCTATATACTACTTGAGCTCTGATCTCTTCATTTTCCAATTCAAATACTCATAAAACTCATCTCTATCCATATCAGAATCTCCTTTATCTGCAGATGCACACTTCACCCCCTTAACATTTATATCAAATTCCTTATAACTATCTATTTCAGAATCGCTAACATCACCACTATCGTATTTGGAAGCAGCTGCTTGCCTCTAAACTTGGCCATCGGCACCACAGGGACTGCTGGGTCTCCTGCTCCCATGTCGTACCCGTCGTTGCGCCAGCCTCCTCGCCTTACCATATCTGCATCTGTAGCTCCAAGTGTTCTCCTGAGATATTCGTCAAATTGCATGAATGCTCGCGTTACTGCGTCAAACTGCTCTTTGCCCAGAGTCGGCTGAGGATTCCATATATGCAGTCACGCAGTCAGCCGCCTGGGTCCTGATCAGGCTCCCCTCACAATGTTTACCATTTCGGGTCATTGGCAAGCAAGTCCGGCGCAACGGCCTCATCTGCTAGTCGCCATCTTTTCTTCCATGTCTCGACTGCAAATAACGCATCTGAAACACCAAGCACGATGGAAGACCCCCAGGCGAAACTGTTTTTAACCGCCCGCGATCGGCATCCGCCAAACGAAGCTGCCAGATGCATTGAAAACAACATTGCTCTGCCAGGCCAACCACTACCTGTGTTCAGTGAACGTGCAAATGGCTTTGTATCCTTGGAAGAGGCTCGCCAAGAGCAGGAGGATAGGTAACATCTCACATACTAACGTTCACCTCTGCTAACGTCACTGATGGTAGTGCAACCAAGTGGAAGGAGATACAAGAGGAGATAGAAGCCCTCTCCCAATTGATGGAGCAAGTTCAGAGGAAGCTCGATCAAACTCAAACAGGCCAGAAATACAGTATCAAAGTCGATCTACGCCAGTGCAATTGGAAAGTGGTTTTGGGAGAAGTAGAGAAAACAGCTCAAATATGGAGGGGCAGACCAAACAAGCAAAGCAAAATAATGGTCTTTGTTGATAAGGTTGGGCGGCACTCGGAAGCTCTTGAAATGTGGTTGGCACTTTTGCCTACAGGCGATTATGGGTCAAGGTACATCCTGGAGTATATAGCATTCTCAAGTTTACTAACAATCTATTTAGTATCTGCGGAGCATTCAAGCTTATCATCGGGGTAAGTTGCTTCTCTCGTCTAACATCATACTAACACTAGATAGGCCGCCGGGAGGTACACCAAGGTCGAGGAGAGCGTTTATGAAGCAATGTCGGAGATACCAATAATCATGGAGCGTACAAAGAGATACGTTGACATGTACAGACAGATGCGCGATCAGTTTCTTGAACAGCGCACAATCGAGCTTTTCCGAGCTATCCTGACCTGCTTCACCAGGTCATGCAGTTCTTCCTTGATGGCAAGCCAAACAAGTCACTATATCAATTCCGACTTTCTGTCACTTACAGTTTGTAGGAAAGTTCATTGGCAGCCTTATGCAGCAGGTTGAATACAAGGAACAGCTGTTCCAAGGTGTTGCGGTCATCAAGGCGTTCGCTCAGGCTGTGAATGACGAGGCATCGCAGTGTCAAACACGTATGGTCACGACAGATTCCAAACCTTTATGAGGAAAACTCAGACCTCAACGCGTCTCCTTGTCAATGGTCGCGGAGATCTCTCGGCCAAAGAGGGTGTATCTCCATTCAGTGTTGTTATGGCTGAACTGGCGCGTATTTCAAATACGGGGCTCACTGAGTCTGCTCCTGTTTTCATTCTCAAGTATTTCTGTTCCGAACATCAACTTTCCCACCCTAATGACCCTCTCGCATCAGCAGTTGGCATCATGGCAAGTATCATAGGCCAGCTAATCTGTCAAATGACAGAGAAATGTCTTGCAGTTGATCTGTCCTTCATGTCTGATTCTAAGTGGCGAAAACTGGAACTCTTAGAACTCCATACCCTCTGCACAGTGTTCAAACGCGTTGTGGATCAAATACCGCGGGATGGTGTTGTACTCTGCATTATCGATGAGATCTCGGTCTATGAGACTTCTAGGCTTGGGGAAGAAACTGAGACGGTGATTAAGAAACTTGTGCAGCTTGCACATCAAGGCCGGTATCCAGTTTTCAAACTACTAGTCACTTGTTACGATCATGCTTTGGACGTGGGCAGGTACTTCTCTGGCTATACTCTTGACTTGGATGAGGATATTGAGACAGATGATACAGCTAATTGGATAATTGCAAGCCAATTATCTTGAATTATTATAAAAGTTATAAAGACAGTGGGTTGGGAGAAATACTCTAATCATGACCCATCCAAGAAACATTTTAACCACGATCGCTTCCCTCATTTTATCACCACCCATTAACCGCTCTTATGCACAACACCAATAATCTTCTCAACAACAGAAGGATCCGAAAGCGTAGTAATATCCCCCAGCTGATCCTGCTCACCCATAACCACCTTCCTCAAAACACGACGCATGATCTTTCCAGACCGAGTCTTGGGCAGATCAACGACCATGAAAATCTTCTTAGGCGCCGCAAAAGGACCAATGTTGTTGCGGACCTGCAGTCTGAGCTCGGCGTGGACTTCCTCCTCAGAGGTTCGGAATGCTTCTTTGAGGCAGACGAAGGCGATGACGGATTGGCCTGTTACTTCGTCGGAGACACCCACGACGGCGGATTCAGCGACGGCGGCGTGCTCGACCATTGCAGCTTCAATTTCAGCGGTTGAGAGGCGATGGCCGCTGACGTTGATTACGTCGTCGACACGGCCGCGGATCCAGTAGAAGCCGTCTTGGTCGCGGGCAGCTCCATCACCAGTAAACTACAAAATAATCAGCCATTACTCAACTGACTCAGCTCAGTTGAAAACTCACGTAGTATCCAGGATACACCTTGAGATATGTCTCCTCGAATCTTTGGTGATCACCGTAGACAGTTCGGGCCATGCTAGGCCATGAGGTCTTGAAAGCAAGAACGCCTTCGACTCCGTTGCCGTGGATCTCAGCACCAGAAACAGGATCGATCAAGACTGTGTCGATGCCGAAGAATGGCAGGCAAGCGGATCCAGGCTTGGTGGGCGTCACGCCAGCGAGAGGGGTGACTGCGTGAGAGCCAGTCTCAGTTTGCCAGTACGTCTACTCCAGTCAGTTTCGTCCATGAAGGACGTCCATGGTCAACTTACATCAACGATATGACATTCTCCCTTTCCAATGACATCGTAGTACCACTTCCAAATCTCTGGAGCGATAGGCTCACCGACTGAACCGAGAACTCGCAGACTGCTGGTGTCATGGTTGACGGGGTCAGATCCAGCTCTCTTCAATAAGCGAAGAGCCGTGGGAGCGACATAGAAGTGGGTGATCTGATGGTTCGCGATGATATCCCAGAAACGAGAAACATCAGGGAAAGTTGGTGTTCCCTCAAAGACAACTGTAGAGACACCCAAAAGGAGCGGAGCGTAGACCACATATGTATGACCAGTGATCCAGCCAACATCGCCAGCGCAGAAGTATCGATCGTTCTCATGAATGTCGAACACATACTTTCCCGTCGCAGCAGCCCCAACCAGGAAACCACCAGTGGTATGCAAAATACCCTTTGGCTTGCCCGTTGATCCAGAAGTATACAGCAAAAACAAAGGATCCTCAGCGTCCATGGCCTCAGGAGGGATGTAGCTAGGCCACTTGGCAGTCTGTTCATGCCACCAATAATCCCGTCCCTCAGTCCACGCGACCTTGGCACCAGTTCTCTTGAAAACAAGAGTCTGAACACCCTCGAGTGGGCTCAACGCCTCATCAACAATCTTCTTGATACCGATTGTTCGACCACCGCGCTGACTCTCATCAGCAGTAATGACGACCTTGCTCTTGGCGTTGACGACGCGATCTCGCAGCGAACCAGCTGAGAAACCAGCAAAGACAACAGAGTGAACAGCGCCGATGCGGGTGCAAGCAAGGATAGCGACAAGAGCTTCAGGGACCATGGGCATGTAAATAGCGACCGTGTCGCCCTTTCGCACGCCAAGGTCCTTGAGAGCCCAGGAGACCTTGCTGACTTGCTTAAGCAGCTCGCCGTATGTAATGGAGCGACCGCCATTTCCATCGTCAGTTTCGTGGATGATAGCAACCCTGTTGGGATCTTTGAGGGCATGGCGATCAACGCAGTTAAACGAAGCATTCAGCTTTCCGCCAAGGAACCAAGATGGGTTGCCCTCGACTAGCGAGCCGCTCTTGACGGTGTGAAAGTCGTGATCCCATGTAAGAAGCTCACGGGCCAGGTTTCCCCAGAAAGCTTCAGGCTCCGTGATGGAGAGCTGATGCATCTGCTGGTACTCCTCCAAGCCTAGATATTGTAAGCACGGGAATAATTTCCAGATTGGGATATAACTCACTGCCAATGTGAGGCTTGCTGGGGTGTCCTGAAGACGTGTTGTTAGTACGCAGCTATTTTACAGCATGGATTCAACGCACGTGCGAGCATTTTGTCGGGAAGATCTAACTCAATCTTAGTACAATCTCAACCAGAGTATTCGGATATACGTACACCATTCCTCGCCGTCACCATTGGTGACTGGTTGTGTCGATATGGGTTGGCGCATGATGAAATCGTATGATGTACTTTTTTTCATGCAATAAGTTTGGGTGGGTGTTGGTGGGAGCGTAGTGCGAAGCTTGGAATTTTATCGATATCGTGAAAAAGTCGAGGTGACTGAAAGGGGAAAAGGGGTGAGGTGCTGGTGAGCGGAGGATATTAGGTCAGCAGGATCCACGCACCCTTGTCAGTATAGTGTTGATTATGGTGACATGACGCAGTGGGCGGCAGTGGAAATCCTTGCCTTGTGATTGATTGATTCAGAGGCTTTAGAGGTCAATTTCGCCGATCCAAGCCGCGGTTGACGCAGTGACTCAGTGACTCAACCTAGATCACAGACTCGGCCAACAATGGAGTCTCGCGATTACTGTATCTGATGATAAACTTAAGCTTAAGCCTGCTCCATCACCTGCTCTTAATCACTTGACGACCGATCTTCGGCACTCAACTCTGAATAAGGGAATATAGTAAAATTAGATCAATTCTGCCGTAAGATTCTGCCACCGCCTTCTGTAATAAGTGTCAGCGCAACAAGGGAGACCGCGGTATCGGCCCGTAGCTGCGGCGTAATCTTGGCGATCATTCCACTTATTACCGCAATTGGAAAATAGTGGTCTTTTTTTGCCGTCGTAATCCCCAAGACAAGTGATTCCTTGTCATGTCACGCACCGCCAGTCTGGTCGGGTTTGGCAGTTCTTCGCCTTTACTACCTTATGAGGCAACATCACCACGTGGACTGAGTGAGTAGCACGCATTTGGACTCTGCCAAGACGATGCGAAGCTTGTGATGGCTGTGTATCGTATTGAGCCTGAATAATCCATGTGACAGCGCAGTCTAGGGTATCCCATTCCTCTGCTGATTCAGAGGCTCGTGCTTTTTTGTTTTGTTGAGGTCTCCCAACACGACAAAAAAATTGGGGTCCACTGTGATGTTATTAAAAAAAAACAAGTGCTGTAGGGTTGGCCGAAGCAGTTATACCGTCAAGTCATGTGATGAAGCTCGTGATTTGATCTGGCCACGAATATCGGTTACTTCAAGATAAGAACACACAAGCCAAGACTATCACAGATCCCGAGGTTAATGCATTTTGGAAAGCTTGTGAATTGCATTGCAGCTTGCACATGTCAGAGCTGTTGCATCATGGTGTGATCAAATTCCGTAACGGCTCAACGGCATGAGTGAAGGACCATGCAGCCTGTGGCGATACCAACAAATCCCTAGTAAAGGCTTCACTGTTCTTCAGAGACACTGTGAAAGCGCAGCTGCCAAACTTCCAGTTGATTATTATTTCTTACCTGAGAGTGGAAAGTCTCTTATTCTGCGCCTATGTATCTATTCAGGCTTCCTTGCGTAAACAACCCGCTGGCGATAGAAAGGATGGAACTTTCCAGATCGAATCTCGCGTCGCAATCGAGCGCAGTACACAGAAACCTCTTCCTTAGTCCAGCCAAGAACCATGTTAGCCATATACAGCACATAACCCTCGTAGTCCTGTTCAAGCGCGGCCTGAGCAAACTGTCCGATTTGCTTGAGCCGAGGGTCCTGGGGCCATCCTCCAATAGGTGCCTGAATTGATTAAGTCATTCATTCATATGAAGAAATGAAAGATTGAGCGTACCTTGAAGTCCCAAACTTTCACGTCAACGAAGCCTGCTTCCTCCATCCCCTTCTGCTGCAGATCTTTATCGATGATCTCAAAAGTGCGGTTCAGCTTTTTCCCGCCTTCGATAAAGAACTTGCCCCATTCGTTGATAGCACAGGTTTCGGTTACAGTGCCATCGTCACTTTCCATTCTAGGGGAGGCTTCGTAGCTCTCGACCCAACCGCCAGGCTTGCAGACGCGGAATGCCTCTTTTAACAGGGCGGACCAGTCGCTGATACTTCCGTACATATAGCGCATGTGCACGTAATCGAATGAGTTGGGGTCATAAGTCCACTCTTGCGTACAGTCTTCGATTTCGCTGCTCTTGTCAGAACACCTCATATCATCGGCTCTCACAAGCTACTTACAACTTCAGATTGGGTGGGACCCAGTCAGGCTGGATGGGGGAGATATCCGTTCCGACTACTTCGGCGTTGGGATATTCATCGGCGAAATCGCTGCGGGAAAGTCAGTAAAATACAAAGGCCTATATCTGTCAAGACATCTCACATAGCCCAAATACCTATTGCCTCAGTCAGTTACATATATTCCAGTTGGGTCTTGATAACATACCAGTTCCGGTTCCGATGTCCAAGACTTTCTGAATATCTTGTCAGAGATATGCTGTCAATACCCAAAGATAGTACACGAACCTGAATGTCGTCCTTTAGAGGAGCTAGATGGAGCTTCCCTTCCAGCGAAAGAGACAGCAGATGGTGACTATTTCCTGTAAGCTTATAATCTTGCAGACTATCTCTGATAAAAACTGGCTCACTTAATATCCATAGACTCGTTATGGTGCTCATCGTTCGGTGTCCTAAACCGTCAGCTGCAAAGCTTACACTTGAAAGGGCTCCCATACCAATACTCGGCATTTCCGCGCTCAGAGTGATACGTCCTCCCGTGAATGGTGCGGTAATGAAGAATGCTCGAAGAAATCGACTCAGTCGAACTAGCAACATCATCTCCGACCGCCGAATCAGCATCATCGTCTCCTGGCGCATCCTACATAATGTCAATAGTCGTGGCCAAGAGAACGTGATTCTACATACGCCCTCATTCAAGGTAGCCCAATGATCAGGGTTATGGAAATCTTCAGCAGGCTCGGCGGGGTTCTCTGCGGTGTTTTGCTCAGCAGGGGTCTGCTCCGTCGGTGCATGCGGTTCCTCCGCTGGAGGAGACGATACAACGGGCGCCTTCGGCGAGGAAGCTGCCTCCTTTGAAGTCTCTGCCATTTTGCGTATATGTCTTGGTAATTCTGGGGTGGTTCAGAAGTTTGAGCGCAAATCGAGAGACGATCAAAGCAACGGAAATGACAACTCAGCAAGGTTACAATGTGCTGATCAACCGATAAGAACCCTGTCTCCTCTACCCCACTATGAGACAAATACTGCCAATTTACATTTTGATATGTCTGTCATATGGAATTATCATTTTATTATATGGGATCAGTTGGTATTGCAGTATTGAAATGTTTATTAAAGTGGTGCTATTTATTCAGGCCACGTCACTGCAACAGTTTATGCCTATGTATATATGTAGAAACTTAACAGCGACAATAGATAGAGAATCATTACCATGAATTCAGATAAAGTATGCTTAGCCTAACTTTCTCTTAATATCACCCTTATATATGGTCTCCTTTAAGGGAGACACAGTAAGTCGCGGCTTCAGATGGTGGGTGCATTCAGTACATCCGCGTTCTGCACGTCAAGAAATAGCTACTGAAGAGTGAAGCCGGTACAGGAAGTTTTCTGTAGCCGACTAGGAACCTGATGCTTCTGGGAAAGACTCAGGGTTACGTTCTCTGAGGTAAGCTGATTATCAACAGTGGCAGCAACAAGTTTCACCGACGTTTCGAACACGCATATTTGGTTCTTCGGCTGAGCCCAGACGCTCCAGTTTCCATGAGAAGACCAGTCGCCAAGTTCCGTATTTTGGGTAACGACAGGTTAGGTGCACGAGATCCTGAAACTCATCCGGTCAATACTATCTTCGAGCTCGAAGATCTCGGGAAGTTCTGCAGGGGGTGTATCTTAAGTACACCAATGCAGATCTTAATACCAACTGCAAAATGGGTTTTTATAAGTACCTGAACCCTGAAGTTTGTGTGTAGAGTTCTGTTAGCAGTCTTGAAAAGATTGACACCACTGATCTGAATGACAGGATCCTGCAGAGCAACAGGCACCGTTGGATCCTAAGTGCAGGTATCCTAGGATAAGCCAATTACTTTCAGATTATAACGTGGAGAAATCCAAAGTCATCGCTATGTTGTTACGTACTGCCAGAAACCAGTAGTAGGTAAAGATAATCCCCACTGCAGCTGAACGAAAACAGGCGAATATACGAAGTAAAGATGGACAGCCAATAGACTTCTCTGACAGGATGACATGCGATCAGCGATTTATTGCTGACGTAGTGGGGTATATCCGAAGCTCCATTATCAGATTATATGCGGAATGACGCATCGTCCTGTAAATGCAGACCTGTAAAGACTTCCCGGCGGATGAAAGGCCAGCACATCAATGCTTTCCGGATAATCCTTTCCATAATCTTGTTACGGTGTTGGTTGTTATTATAGACTGATTGAAGGTATCTCTTCCTGTTTGAGCTGCATTTTCATCCTTGGCCAACGTCATAGAATCCTGAGCTCCGGGTAATTGTGATACAGCACTTTGGGGGCCATATGCAATCCAGGGGCAACTATAAAAGGCCTGCGTGATACCTGGAAACCAACCGAAAATTTACTAAGAGCATAGGTGTTCTCCTAAATCAAGATGGCGATGTTTTTGTTCCTAATTTCTCTCCTCTTGCTGTTTCCAACTGCATCTATGTCGTTGGTCAAGCGCGGCTGCGATTCTTTTGAAATCATGGATAAGAAGGGACACAGCGCCCCCGGACGACAAGTCCGCGTATCAGCATATATAAACTGCACGACAGAAAAAGCCCGAGAAGATGGTCCTCCCATGAATCAATGCAATAACGATCTATACAAAATGGGCATCATCGTCAATTCAACCATTAATGCCACCATCTCAGACAAGGCAGCTCTTCTAGAGATTGTGCGAAATGCTGCAGATCCAGCCACAGCACAGAGGGTGAATTTGAACAGAACTCTCGTGATTCCGTTCACCAACCCGCACGATACAGCGGAAAATGGAACGACTGGTTACTGGACATTTGTACCTGAATTGCAGTGTTTCAATGGTGTTCTCAAAGATTGTAAAGGTGACGATGAGGACTGGGATGGGGAGGTGGCTGTGGCCTGCGGCTACAAGATACTCAGCAGAGGAGCTAATGCGAGTACGGCGGTATACGACGGCGAAGTCAGCTTTGTCCGGGAATTTGGAGCGGAGTATAGTAAGAGTGACGAGGAGAAAAGACCGTGGCCAGAATATGAAACGGCTGTGGAGTGGGTCGAGGAGCATAAAGAGGACTCTGATTCTGGAGCCCTGAAGTATGCATCAGCTTATAGTGCGCGTATGGCTCTCACTTGGTTCTCCCTAACTATTTTACTTTTCTTTATTTAGTTTTATCAGAAATAAGAAGGTCTTTTAACTCTGACGTTGGCCTTGAAACAGAAGCAGCTTGGCACTAAGTGCTCTAGCCTTTTGGCAAAGTGATACCTGTTGTTAGGCTTCCTGATTGACTTGCCACAAGGCCATGAGTGTATCTAGCTTGCGACCACGTTTAGCGGAGACACAATATTTACCGGAAAATAGGATCTGTTCATAAAAAGCTCCTAACTGTGATTTCTTTTTACATCTATTTCACTCTAATAAGGTTGCCATATGCTTAACTAACCCCAACGACTGAAGACGTGAAACCCTCTTGATTCCCTAATCACTATGCCATTGGCACCCACTGTTCTTCTCCGTCCATCTCAAGCCCGTGCGAGTCACGCATGTGCCTTTTGAAGTTATCCTTCCTGCTGTTCGAAATAGCCTTTCGGCAGATAGAACAACGTAAAGATTTGCCAGAGATACCCAAAGCTGTCGCTAGATAAGGGTGATAAACTCGAACATGCTTTTTCATATCACCTTGTTCCGCCTTTCTTTCTGGGCAAAGTGGACATATAACCGGCCTATAGTGATTGCGAACGTGTTTCCTATATCGTCAACTTGTACTCGTGACAGACTGAATAGTTTGACTCACGTCACACGGCTTGCTAGTTTGTATGTCTTGTGAGGAGTCTTGCATTCTGGATGCTTACAAAAGTATCCTGTAAGTTTACCGCCATGGACATAATAGTCAGTTGGAGGCAGCTCATCTTCCTGGAAGAGCTGGAGAGAATGTCGCCTCTCTTCGCCGCTTCTACCCGACGCTCCGTTGACCGAATTGACCATGGCCATGCTTTGCTCATTCGGCGGAGTCTGATCATAAGATCCAATGCCAGATAAATCTGGTCTATTTGGCACAGCGGTTGGAGACTAATGCTCGTCGCTTTGATCAGAAGCATCGGTACGGTTGGGTAGAGCAGTTGCATTGACTGTTGGATGGAGCTCGAGTTCGTGCAATGATACGAATTGGGCCACTTCTCCCACGGTAATAGCTGAGTGATCTTCCATCTTTCTCTTTTGTAATACCCAACAACAAGCATTCCAGAGACGGAGCGAGGACCAACTGAGGAATTATGTTCTGTCAGGCTGCGTCAGATCATTCGTTCAATAAACCTAGTGCGGAAGCGAATGAAGACACAGTGATGTATACTTATAAACTTACAACGTTTCTTCTAAGAAATCCTTTAGCTGTAGGAAATCGAGGTGTATGAAATTTTATAAGGAATAGTTGGATGAGCAGACTTTTGGCTCTAGAGTCGTACTTATCTCAACCTGCAGACAGAACGCGACTTCAGTAACAGGGTATCGGCGCAAGGTCCCATTGGCCAATATGCAAGAGGCATACCAATTCAGCTATGGGAATGACGTATTTACATCCGACAGTTCGCTCGTCGCCCAATCAGCAATGGATTTTCAAGCCGCAATATGTCTGAGGCCTGCCACACTGCTCGGCGTGAAATCCCTGATAATCCTGGTGGAATGACATACTTTGTCTCTACGCATTTCATGAACTCCGAGCCACAACGCGATCGATGAATTTAGCTCCCAATAAGCATTCAACCTCTCTGCCTAGCAAACTACTTTCAACAATTAACATTTGCCTAGTAAGGTATTCGCAGATATGGGTGAGTATCTAGCAAAGCTATTATCGCACTACGGTGACTAATTATTAGAATCGAAAGGAACCCAGCAACCGCTTCTGGTCGCTCCAGAACGGGGATTAGTCAAACGCTTTTATCCTCCCCTTTTGTTCCTGATCGGCTTGACATCCATGTGTCCACGACGAAGATTAGGAGAGGACCCAGAATTCGATGCTTTGACAGGTCTGGAGCCACTTTTCCGAGCATTTGCTTCCAAAATTGCCTTCCTTTGTTGCACCGAGGTTGGTGGCGGAGCAATCTCGGCTTGTGCTGTGTTACAGCTGCCCGATTGTATCCAATACGTGATTGGTTTCAACCAGCAAAGTTCAACGAGACGTGAAAAGATCCAAGCTAGCATAGCTTCTATTCTTCATATGTTCTCTGCAGTTCCAACAGAGCATAGTGCGGAAAGAGAAAACCTTCGGAACAATGCCCTACACGCATCGCTTGAGTTGTGCAAGAGTCGGGTGAATGGATACTTGAGGTCGCTCAGAGTCCATCTACAAGAGTGTATTACAGCCTGTGAGCGTGAAAGTACCCTGGAAAGTAGGTTTCGTATACTCTATTCGCTGTGTTCAAATGGAGCTGACAAGTCTTAGGTAACTCGACTCAAGATGAAATGTCCCAAATCCTTCGCCTACTAGAAGTCTGTTTTGACACATGTCACTCTGAACCGGGTGAGTGTTTGAATCGTCTTACCCAGAGTTAACTGCCTATCTAATTATCATTTGTTCAAGTAAATTTCTTGAGCGTATGTGACCTGATCACTTCTTTAAGCAACTTTTTCAAGTCCCATATCTTTATTGATGTCAGGTGTCGCTTGGCGCGTGAAGATAACATGATGTCAACGACACACTGGTCAGACTTTGTTCATGTCGCAGGTCGACTGCTTACATATAAGCGTGCAGTGGACTTGATGGACTTGGTCGCAAAGATCTGGCCTCAGCTCTTTTCAAACATTCAAGTATGCATGATACCATCAAGTTCAACGGTGCCTGGCGTTCTTCCTACGAATCCATGGACAGCTGCTCAGATCATGAGGAAAATGACTAGCGATGAGTCCTTGTTGGGTCGTTTTGCAGCACAGCTAGGCTCACTTTCTGTGCACGACATAGACGTCAAGGTCTCTGAACTTTGGCGTAGTGCACCGAAACCACTGGTGCATGCGGAAGTGCTAGTGCATGACTGGCTAGAAAACACCGAGGGCGGAATCCGCCCTGAACGGTTTTTCAATCGTTGGAAATTCATCGGATCAAGCAAACCACCCTGCAAACTGTGCTCTTATTTTTTCGATGAATATCCAACTGATGTTCAAGTCCGGCCCTCTCATCAGAACGCGTATTTTACCTGGCGGATGCCTGATGTGTATGAGTACCAAGGTGAGGAATCAATCCGGAAACGAATGCTCGTAATGGATAGCATCAAGACTCGAATCAGAGCGGACGTTATGCGAATACTATCTGAGAAGCTAGCTGATGGACGAACTCATGATTCAAGTGCATATATATCCTTATGGCGTGGCATAGCGCCAGGTCTTCCCAACGACCCTATTACACTCGAAGCAACTACTCAGTTGCTCGAATCGCACACGCTTTCGACAAAGCACGAACAAAGTTCCACTGGTCGAAAGCCGGCCAATGAAGTGGTAAAAGTACTGGATGAGAATGAAGAAGGGCTAGATGAGAGTTATGAAGAGCAATTACTTTTCAAAGGTAGATCGGCTATCCGAAAGACTTAATAGAACCGATTGGGAGAACAACGACTAATGAGTTGAGATACTCCGATAATAAATTTTGAATCTATACAATCTTGATAATTTGAATCTTCATTTATTGCTGATATTAGCCATCACCTAGACTACTTACTATTGCCAAAATATAATCCCTTGGTCATACTATGCTACCTTTTTAGTATATTTGGGTTGTTACTCAAAAGGAACAGAGCTGGTCGGTATGACCACATGAAGTACACAGTTCTAACCTAAGGGCCAGGTTTAATAGCATTTTTATTGGGATCTTTCTTACTATTACCACTATTTCACTGGGTACATAGGCGGCCTTGACTTGACGTTGTTGTTCTGCTCTTGTCTAGCATGGGCAAAGCAAGCATAGTAGCTGCAGCAGCCAGCTTAAAAGGTTCCTCCGCAAATTTAGAAGTGGTCTTCCTAGCTGGTAACTAAGAAGTACGATCACCCAACGGTGGAGAGAGAAGTTTCTCTTGGCGATGTTGTAGTCAGTTCAAATATAGTACAGTACGATCGAAGGTACCAAGATAACTTTGTGACCAAACAGCCCATACATATTGCGAGAAAGCCGATAAATAATTTCCCCATCCACTTGAGAGCTAATGTGTTTCTTGACGATATGATGGGAAGATCAGCAGAGGTTTTGGAATAAATGCAGCTTAGTAACCCAAGATATTAGTGCCCTGGCTCAGCTAATGATCGGCTCTACAAACCATCCTACTAGCATCAGATCGACACTTTGGTACTATGTACGTGCTTCACGTGTCTAAGCCCGATATGCAAGCCCTGTTGTGGTGTTTTGTGCAACGAGGCGGGATGCGATGAGAATTTCCTTGTACCGAGATTTCGAATAAAAGAGAAACCGCCCTTGGAAGAGCAAGGGAACGTCTGGCTCAAAAAGCTTCGATCTTTCTGGGGAGGTTTGGTTCTGGAGCCACGGTACTCGAGTCGAGTCGGGATCGAGATTAACCTGTTGAGCGGCTTGGTATCGAGGCATTTGAGATGGAGAGCGCTGGTCTGTGGGTAGACTTGCCATGTATTGTGGTGAAAGGTGTCTGTGACTATGCAGACTCTCATAAGAATAAGGGATGGCAAGACTTTGCTGCGGCAACGTCGGCTTCTGTTGTTAAAGCCTTACTAGAGCGATACATCATAGCGGATAAATAGATTCAGATATCCCAGTTCGAGATGTCTGTGTCGGTTTATTCGATTGGACAGTGTAAACATCACCTCGATAGCTGGAATTCTGGATACCATCTGCATTTATTAATCCCCGAAAGTAGACCATCGTCCTAACGTCAAGGTCCGAGTGGGTAAATAGAGATTCCAACGTAGTTCTTAATATTACCTTGACATACTTGGGGCATGAGCCTCATAAACCATGGAACGGGCCGATGACAGCAGTAAATGCTATGAAATATGGTCTGAGCAGTAAACTTTATGTTCTTGCCGTATATCCGAAACTTCATGGAGAGAAGCATGGAAAGACCGGAACCTCTGTCGCAAGTGTACACTGACCAACTGTCAGGTCTAATAGCAAACTCTATAAGAGGCATCTTTGAATCAGATACATTACGTTCTCATCCGTACATCCGATGAGTCTTGTCTCCGGAAAGCCAGACAGATGGCGGTTGCATTGAGCGCTGAAGAAGGTTGGGCCTCGCGAAATTTCCCGACATCAATTGAAGAGTTATGGCATAACAGCTGGGGTTCAATGACATGATCTGATGAGAAAAGTGACGATAAGAAGAAGAATAAAGTTAATTCTGGTCACAGATAATGAACCGCAGCTGATGAATTCCGAATGCGTCCAACCAGACTCGAGACACAGCGCATGAAAGGAGCCTCAAATGCAACGCAACACAGTAAAACCTTGTGCAATCCCAGCATCGGCAAATTCTGTGACACGGCAGTTGTGATATACGCGACATGACTGCTATGATGACGACGTCCACACTCTGCCATCTCTCCCTCCTCCGCGAACTCCGAACGCCGTATTTCCTCTGTACGAATGAACACTCGTTATCGTCAACGCCTGCTTACTTTATCTGCGTTATCATTGCTCTCCCGTTCACATCTGCCGACGACATTTATTAGCTCCAACGCAGGCATGTCGCAGGGAAAAACTCTCCTCGCCTTGTTTTCCAGATAATGCACTATAGCTGAATAATTATGATGACATTTATTTACCAAAACGTAAAAAAGCGCTCGGATATCTGCATCAGCTCTACTTGCCGTGTTTACTTGCCGAGATGGTGGATCATTTTGTCCCCAAATACCCCAGAATGGCCTGTGGGGGCAAACCTGGAGTACCCGAAGACCGAGACTGTCATCAAGATCTGGTCCAAGTTGGAAAAGTGATATAAGAAGAGTATGGTAGATAGTAAAAAGACAGGAAATAAACCACTTCAGTGCCTTCTTCAACAATTCTTTTAATTTATTGCCTCTTTTTGTGCCTTCAACATGCACAGTGGCTTGGTTGAAACTCTTCTAAGTGCCCTCGCCCAGCATTGGGTGTTGGTACTTACATCGCTGACTGTCGCGTGGCTCGTCAAGAACAGATATCACCACGGTCTAAATAAATATCCCGGTCCCTTTTTGGCGTCTTTGACGGATTGGTGGCGCTTCTGGGATGTTTATGGACAGCGACCTGAGGTGACGCTGCAGAAACTTCATGCTAAGCATGGTGATATTGTCAGATTGGGACCAAACGTTCTGTCCTTTGCGGACCCTGCTGTTCTCAAATCCATCTACGGTCTTAGCAAGGGTTATGTCAAGGTATGTTTTTCCATCCAAGCTTGCAGCCTTGATATTAACTATCTCAGTCCGACTTCTATATTGTTCAACAATCCGTGGTCAAGGGCCACCGTCTCGCATCTCTCTTTAGCACAACAGACAATGACTTCCACTCCCAATTCCGCAGATGCGTCAACTCTGCCTTCTCTATGACCGCACTGGTTCAATACGAGCCCTTTGTCGATAACACCACCAAGCTGTTCCTAGAACAGACCGAGAAGCTCTTTGCTAAGCGTTCTGATGTCTGTGATTTTACACAGTGGCTTCAGTTCTACGCCTTTGATGTCATTGGCGAGATCACTTACAGCAAGAGACATGGCTTCATTGAGAAGAATGAGGATGTTGAGGGTATTGTCGCGTACCTTGGCAAGCTGTTCCTCTATGTTGCACCTGTAAGCCACTCGTTCACTCATTCAAGCTCTTGACTAACAGATCCCAGGTCGGACAAATTCCCTTCCTAGATCTCCTCTTGCAGAAGAACCCCATCTACCTCAAGCTCTCCCAGTGGGGTCTCTTTGACTCAACAATCGCCGTCGCACGCTTCGCCCGCGCCCGCATGGCTGAACGTCTCATCCCTGAGCTCAAGACAGTCGACAGCCTCCCCACCAGCAACCTAAAGAAACAGCCCCTCGGCCAGGACCTGCTCTCCAAGTTCATTGCCGCCCGTGAAGCCCGCCCTGAGTTTATGACAGACACTCTCGTCCAGACCATGGCTGTCTCCATGGCTTTTGCAGGCTCGGAAACTACAGCTATTACTCTCTCCGCTGTCTTCTACTACCTCCTCCGAAACCCCGAGTGCTACCAGAAGCTCAAGAATGAGCTTGATGAGGCTGCCAAGGCTGGTGTCTTTTCTGACTATGAAACTGGTCTGGTCACATTCTCTGAGGCTCAGAAGTTCCCCTACCTTCATGCTTGTGTCCAGGAAGCTTTCCGAATGCATCCCGCCCCAGGCCTCCCTATGGAGAGAATTGTTCCTCCCCAGGGAGCAGAGATTGGAGGCGAGTTCATCAAGGGCGGCACCATCGTCGGTGTCTCAGCCTGGATCATCCACAACCGCCCAGAGATCTTTGGAAACGATACTGATAAGTACCGACCTGAGCGCTGGTTGCCCGACCCCAATCTCGATGCTGAGGAGGAGGACAAGCGTATCAAGAAGATGACGGGTATGATGTTCCAATTTGGCATGGGTAGCCGAACATGCATTGGCAAGAACATCAGTCTCTTGGAGATCTACAAGGTTGTGCCAAGTCTTCTAAGAAGATTCGAGGTAAGCTACAGTCATCCCCACATGCATAGATCCAATACTAACAAGAAGCAGATTAACTTTGAAGACCCAAGCAAGGAGTGGAGGATCATCAACGCCTGGTTCGTTAAGCAGACAGACTTCAACGTCAAATTCACACGGAGAGAACTTGTACAGCCGGAATTCTCAGAGAAGCAGGAATGAAACGTATAATGAATTGTAATGACATAGATTGTAAAAGTTTATATCACTTATATAGATAGTTCTAAGCGATGCTGCTGCTCTTGATGATGGTTCCGAAGGCATCGCCAATCTCGCTCAGTGACACCTTGACCAGCTGTGAGGCATCAACGCCTGGGATGTCTCGATCGCCGACAGCGTCTTCGGGGATGATGACGTCGAAGCCAAGCTCGTCGGCTTGACGCGCGGTAGTCGAGACGCAGACATGGGCCTTTACATGATTAGTCCTGTATCTCAGTTATATAACCCGTTGACTTACCATGTATCCCGTGAGAACAACCTTCTTCTTCCCCGTCTTTTCCAAAACACTCTGAAGATCCGTCTTGGTGAAAGAGCCAGGAAAGTTCTTGTGGATAGCAGCCTCGCCGTCCTTGGGCTTCAGCTCCTCAAACTCCTCAGCAAGTTTAGTCCCCGGGGTAAAAACAGGCGCGCCCTCTGGCGTATCATGCATGACATGCACGATACTCCCATTCGCAGCTCTATATTTCTCCAAAAGTCCTGCGATGACCTTGCGCGACTCAGCAGCGTTGGTGACTTTGAGCTGGCCCTCAGCGTACTCATTCTGCGCGTCGATGATGATGAGTACGCTATCGGAGGGGCTGGCCGTAGAGGCGGGGATGCCAACGAGGTCACGGAACGAAGTTGCGGAGGCCATTTTTAATTGTTGGTTGTATCGTGAGTGTTGGGTGTTGTTACAACTGATGCGGGAGTCTTTATATAGTGGTTAGGTCATTGACATGACCCCTCACCTGGAGCAATGGGTTAACTTGATGATATTCCCATTACTCAGCAACCAAGGTCGAATTAAGGTAAAAGATCACGTAATTGGAAGGAAAGCCGACAGGCAATTGATCTGGGTACAGACCAAAGTCACCAATTACGCCTTGACTAGGCTGGATGTTGACTGTTGTGTCCTTTGGTCCGACGAGCGTTCTCGAAAACCATTGGATGAAGTCAGTGGGTTTATGCCCAATTAGTACATTATAGCCGACAAATTGGGTCTTCAATTCTATCCCGCTGGTCCATCAGTAGTAGACTAGCAGTACAGTAATAATAACGTTATGATTCCTAACGAAATCTAGAACTAACTACTCCGTATTACTTACATAACGCTATTATAGATATATAAACCTCTTCAATGGATGATCACTAGTAGGATGAGGATTATTCTGAAATGATCTCGTCCACTTCTCAGTAGTCGATTTTATCAATTATAAGGGTATTATTAGGGAATATTCTAGTCATAGGATGTCCAGCAATTTGACCGTACATCATCCTCCCATCATTAAATCATTTTCAATTCTGCGGCGAAAGGGTATATCCATTTGTACCATATCCATAAGCACATACGTTCCGTGCCTCCCATCTCAAAAAGTCCCCCAAGTCATGGTCCAGATTACATCCCATCGGAGGTATCTCAGACTTATCCAATTCTTTCCCATCCAACGAGATTTGAATTGGTATCATTGGGCTCATCGGACTTGATAGAGAACTTGCTGTTGAGCTATCAAGGTCTTCTTGTGTCTCTGCCCATTGCTGGGTCTTTTGGCGTATCATCTTGGGTCGAATTGGTTTTGGTGACTTGAGCGATGGCATGCGGCAGTCTATGGTAGGTCGGACAACTGTTAGGTGTTTTGTTTCGTCTTGGCGTTTGTTGTTTAGGGCTTGGGTGAGAGCTTCGAATGCTTTGTCTGTTTGGCGGGTGATGCACTTGTTGCAGTCTGCAGAGGCACTCAATGTGTGTCTGTGATCGAGTGGTGAGTTGTTGGTACTTGGGGCTGGAAGGTTTGGCATCATGGAGTGTCTTTGTTGACGCTGTGCCATTTCAGATAGGTTCGTTGTTTGGAGTCGCAGTGGTGATCTTCGTCTGAGTTGTGTAATGTTTGAGCCAGCCGATGGTGATTTCCTCTCATCCAGACTCCTGTCCCGTTTTATATCTGATCCACCTCTGCTAATAATAGTGAGGAACTCCTCCTTTCCTTCAAAGCTGCTTGGCCGTAGCACGCATGCAGATTGACTGTGTTGGTCTAATGAGGGCGAAAAGGACATGGAATTGCGGACGTCGTGGACTGCAGAAACAGTCTGAATAAACATAGGTTCGGAATCATCGAGAATTCCGAGCGGTTTTGCCGTCGTCGGCCATTTTATTAGTGATAGAGCTGGTGATGCTGGCCCGGCGCTTGGTATTTCTGGGCTCTCGAACGACAGGGATGGCTCGCTGTCGGTAGGTGATTTAGTAGCGGGCGTTTGCGACAGCTGGAGAGCTTTGCATCGTTGCTCCCAAAACTCCAGGCCATCGAACCTCTTTACCATTTTGTCTGTGGTATATGCTAGCACGATAGAAAATCCATAGAATAAATAATAATGTTCTAGTAAGGATAAAAAAGTAAACATGAAGAAAAAAGAATGGGGTCGTTTCGTTGAAATTATACTGAGACAATAACATGATCAAGGGAGCGCCCCTAGGGACGAGGGCGAAAGCTACTGTAATTAGACACAAAGCCCCATTTGCATTCCGGCACTGCTACGATGTGACGTCCTCGTATAGAGCAGAGCCTAACGGTAGACTCGGCGACACCTACGAGCTACAAGGGTTGATTGATGGTATCGTGACATTCGTTTTTTGTGGCTCGTGCCGATTACGTCTGGAACGAGCCGTTGAGTGGTTGCACAGCCACGCTCCACTAACACGAGATAAAAATAGCAGCAATAAACGTGGCATGGTTCTGCAAACTTGGGCTTGGGCTCTATTGAGCTAATCACGTGCAAACTATTCGCTCTTGAGATTCGCTGGGATGAAAAAACGTATTTAAGCTTCTGGTGTCCGAGGAGTCCGACCGGACTTTAAGAGGAGAGTGGCTGAAGACAACGTTACGAGACTGTCGACCTGGCTTAGGAACATGACGTAGCGTGAACCTTGGTTACCCTAGAGATCATTAATTCTAGGATATCGAAGGGAGATCCTGCAAAGGGCTATTTAGTCAGCTCAAGGGGAAGTTAAAATCCAGAGTAATCTTCAGAATTATAGCAAAATCAGCGCCAGTACGTTTGCAACAATAAACTTGTAGACAGGGTCATAAAAGAGTGGGCAACACTTTGCTGCTATCGTCATCCAAGGGTTGTCCGTCACCGATTGTCATACGATGGGTAGACACAGCATTATGCAAGATAAGCGAGCCACCAATTCTGAATTCTTACGGAGTCTCTAGATGGTTTTTGGCTTATTTTACCCTTGGGAGATGTCAAGTTCGTTCTCAAGCTCATTTAACCGGAATATACCATTCGCCACCTGGAGGCTTGACCAAAGCCAGAGCTGCTGTCAGGGCAATCTAGGGAGCATGGTTACCCCCAAGCCAGCTCAAACTAGCAAAATCACAAGCTATACTCTGTACAGGGCCAGAATATTAATAACCCTTATCTGATTCCTAATCACATCGCGTCAAGAGCAAAAAGCAAAGGCTTCCCCGTGGGGCATTTGCCCCTCTAGCCGAGATTTCCGACGTCCTCTACCATCCGTCCCACATGGGTCCAGCCCCTTAGTCTACAGTAGCCCCTAACTTAGCAGGGGGCGCCTCACTCAGCAAAGACAAGTGCAAGTTTGGGGTAAATCTGGGGTTCATTCTCCTCCGTCTCCGTCTCCGTCTCCTGCTCCTCCTCTTCAACCTCGGGTACCATTTCGATCGACTCCGCCTTGTACCAGGATGAACAACACTCAGCAACCGATTCGCTTCGCCAAGAAGCCTGTCTCGAGGAAGCGCGCGACAAAGGCGTGTCTTAAATGTCGCAAGCGAAAGGTCCGGTGTGATGTCACACGCACCTCGACGCCTTGTACCAACTGCCGACTCGATGGCTGTGAATGCGTCGTTGCTCGTCGTGCCGATGCTTTGTATGTTGTCGATGTCATCTTTACTTCTACTCTACTGACGTGACATAGTCCTATTCCTCACCGTGGCGCCTCTATCGCCTCCGACAATGCGGACCTCATTCGGGACTGTGAAGCCGTCACGGCAGCTGCTTCTACGACATCGCCGACTTCGAACGATGATAACCCCACGAGTCCTGTCGACGATGCGACTGCCGTGCTACATATATTAGAAGAGAGCGAATACAAGACATCGGTCGAGCATCAGGAACGGGTTGACCTCGAGTCGCCCACCACAAACTCCACTGAAGATGTCATCGAGGAGATTAGAGAGATCCCACCGTATACACCCTCAATCATCGAAGAGCCCAGCGAACCCGTACGATCCGAACTCAAAGCTCTATACTCGTCAATGCCCTTCCTTCGGACCCTCAACATGCGCGACTGCGATTTCCATCACCTCAACGCCCAAGGCTGTCTACGCGTCCCGTCCAAGCCGATCCTCGACGAATTCATCCGACATTACTTCCTCTACATCCATCCATTACTGCCTCTCATCAACGAAGCCGATTTCTGGAATGCGTACGATCCTACGCCTAATTCTGCGACGTCTGGGACGCCTGTTTCGATGCTTCTGCTGCAATCAATGATGTTTGCTTCGTGTACTGTACGTTTGTTGACATCACCACTTTCGTGTTGGGTTGTTCTAACAAATAAAGTTTGTCTCTAAAGAGAGTCTCCGCACGTTGGGATTCGCCACCATCCTTGAAGCCAAGGAGGCTTTCTACACCAAGGCCAAGGTAAACAACATACAGTATTATCAGTGAAGCATTTCTGACATTGGTGTAGCTTCTATACGATTTCTCGACCGACCCCGATCCCATCTCCATCGCACAGTCCGCCCTCCTCCTGACCTACTGGTGTCCGACCTTCCGTTCCGGACCTGGCAAGGCGAACAGTAGATGGCTCCGAATTGCCATTCAACACGCCAAGTCATGCGACGCCGATAGTTACGACTCTCCCTCCTATGGACTACATATATCACAACAAGATGTCAAGAGACGAAACATACTTAAACGTATCTGGTGGTGCTGCATTATCCGCGACCGAATCATGCCCCTCTGCGTTCGAAGGAACATCCAGATCACAAGTGCCCATTTCGACTTTGCCAACTGCTCTCCGTTATGTTACGATGATCTCGTCGATGAACTCGAGTCATCGCGGGTCTACAACATCGCCACAAAGCACAAGCTCATCCTCACGTTAGAACGACTGACAGAACTTTGTGTTACGTTGACAGACGTCCTGGGCCTGGTATATCCGACAGAGACATTGCCGATTTTAGATGCGGAAGCACATTCAACAGCATATGCGCAAGTGCAGGAACACAAGAGGTCACTGAAGAACTGGGCAGTGGCTACAAGACCACCGCTCGCCATTCAAGATTTGACATTGAGCTCAGGAGGATACGAGGACTCTGCGGTATTGTTCACCAACCTAGTCTGGATCTATTTCCAGTAAGCTCACATACTGCCGCTCGAAACACATTCACTGACATCTCTCCAGCGCTAGTCAAGTCGCCCTCTGCAACTACGAACTCCATCTCGGTCTAATACTAGGTCTCGTCAACCAAAATCCCACCACATCACACGAAACCCTATTCCTCAAGAACAACCGAAGAGATCTCCGAAACGCGACAAAGAGCATAGCAGAATGCTTCGCCCGACTACATCCACACCGACTCACCCGATGGCTACCCAGCAGCGCTGTAGCATGCACAGCCCTCCCGCTCGCGATGCACATGGTCGACATGAAGATGTCTACTGCCTCTTCCGCAACTGAGATATGGGCCCGTCCCGAAGTTGCTTCCAAGCAATCACGACTCAACGTCCTTATCCAAGTTTTCCGGGAGCTTCACCCCAAGTACGACGGCGTGCATTCTATTTCCAAGACAATTCGGTACTTTATGGAGTGTAGTGATCGCGAGGAACCTTCGCAAATGATGCTTACCAACGATCACGCTGATGTCCTGGCCCGAAACCCAACACAATACCTTCGACTGGCTTTGACTATCGATGTGTGTCTAAGCCAAGATCGTTTGGCTCAAGATAGTGACTTCCCAGCTGCCTTGAGACGCTTCTTCAACAGAAACCGGTCCTTAATGCCCATGCTACTAGGACAACCACAATTCGCACCAATGCCAATGACACAGCAAATAACACTCCCTCGACCGCTCTCACCGGCAACATATGCAAAAAGCTTTTCGCGATGGATGGAAGACGATCCCTCTGTGGGTTTTGCCATGCAGATGGGAATAGACATAGGACCTCAATCGCCTGTAGTCTACGAAGTTGCGGAACGAGCACAGAAAACACAGTCAGAGAGTACCGAAGAGCCATCTCCCGTGTCGGAACAGTCACAGTTCAGTGAGTCGGTCATGGGCATGGAGACGACTGAGGATCTGTTACAGCGTCTTCAAGGGGCGGTGAGTTGGGCTCAGAATGATCAAGCTTTGTATTTTGCCCAAGAGATGGGTTTGCTGTCTGATGGTATTGGGTTCAAACAAGGTTACAACCAAGATTTTAACCAAGGTTTTTTGTAAAATAGCTTGCAAGCGTTGCAATTCAATGACATGACATGAATATCTATATAACTAATATTGCTCTGTGTTCTGTTTGGGCTCTTCGTTATAACGCGATCTGTTACTCTTACTACTCAATTTCCACGAGGGTTGATCCTGCTACCACCATTTCCGGTCCTTGCATCTGCAGCCGAGTGCTCGACATGGCTCAGAAGTTCAATACTTGCGTCGGAGTATTGCTGCCCTCTACCCCCCTGGTGAGACGAATCATAAGGAGAGTCTTTCTGTCTACCTTTCTCATCCGACATTGAGTCTACAGCAAAGAGAGTCACCATATCCTCGTCTATACCCTCCAGTCTGCGCCCTTGTCGCCGTAATACCAGACGAGTATCGCCAAGTTGTTTCGACAGAGGCTCCGCGCCAGATGTTTCCGCTGCGGGGACAATAGTATCGATATCGGGGTTCCGTGTAGTTCGAAGAATAGTTGAGAAAGTGGCTGCATAGGATGCAGATGCAGACTTGATGCATAGGAGTCCGATGATCACAATAACTGCAGAGGCTAACAGGCCTAGACCGTAGGCGATGAAGAGGTTGCGAGGCTCATAGGAGAAGGCAATTTGGGTGGTCAGGTAGGTAATATTACCGCGAGATGCCGCGGTATCGTTTTGCCTGTTAGAAGTGTTAACAGAGCTTCAATCACAAAAATTACATAGGTGCGCTTGCAGTAATTTTGAGTTACTGAAAAGACTTATCGTCGCATTGTTTAACAGCTGCTGCAATGCATTCGCCATAGAGATATTCCCAATCACAGAATCAGGTGCTTCCGGGTGGTCCGTTGCTGCATTTACACCACCAAGAACTTGCATTTCTTTGGCATCCATGAGAACAGAGCTCATGATCTGCGTCTGAGTAGGTTGCATCACACCGTAGTGCGAAATCCCAAGATTTCCAAGTAGTAGCTTACCCAGGGAGTCCATGAGCGCGATGTAAGCGACAGCAGCATTGAACCGGTCCGAGTCGTTATCCTCGTTGAGACTGGCGTCACTAGACCTTACGCCGTTTAGTCTTTTGGACTTGTAGCTGATATTCTGCTGACCGTTGTCGAATGTAAAGTTGACGGCATATGACGAGTTATAGAGCGCGCATTCGATCGTCTTGTTTGCCATGATATAGCTTGTGGTCGTGTTGGATGCAGGTATATCTGGTACCACAACGAAGAGCCTAGACGCGTTGATGGAGTTGGCCGTTCGATCAATGGACGCGAGCGATGAGATGAGAGAGTAGTTCATCGCACCCCGCAAACCAGCCAAGGCGTAGCCCTCCTCAGTGCTGTTCACCGTGTTACTGCTTGGAACAAATCCAACGTATCCGGCGGAATTCCCGCAACATGTCTCGTTCTTAACAGCTTCGGCCAGCAGTTTTGCAAAGGTGGCGTTGCGAGGTGTACCGCATGAAATTGAAGGACCGTAGAAGTCGACAGAATATGAGGAATTGGGGAAGGGTGCTGGGAAAGTCAGGATGGAGCCGAGAGATGCCACTGATAAGAGCACCCTTGAGACGTAACTCGAGGGGGCGTAATATCCTACTCCGCCTACACCTGTGAATTGGGCAAAGTTGAGCATGTTATTGTAGTCGAGCAGTGGAATGGGAGCGTCGACAACAGTGATGTTTGGCCGGTCAGATACCTGGACTGTCAGGGTAGCTGGAGTAATAACTGCAATCAGCGGGAGCGCCCTGTAAATGTCAGCAACCTATAAATCATTCCGTGCTCATATGAAAGGCTCACCAAGCAATTATGGCCACTGCAGCAAGCGCCGGCGCAGCCGTCCAGAGCTCCCACGTAGTAAAGTCCCAAGCATTATGCAAGACGCCGAAAAGCGAGTTGACGCCCTCGATAGTGACGGATTTTGACCTCAAGGTTCGCCATAGTATTTGCGTGTATGCGAACCCGACCGCTGCTGACAACAGGGCTCTTGCGAGGAACGCTATACCGGTGCCGACACGGAGAAACCACTCCTGCTGATTCTGAGTCTTGACGATCCTCCCGTCAAGATAATGGTAGTAGAGATGATGACCGATGGCAAGAACTAGTCCCAGGAATAGACTTCCCGTCATGAGGACGGGCGTCAGCTTATGGACCGCCATGTTGCGGTGAATGTGGGTTTCTGGCAAGGTTAGGAATCGTCGCCGTAAATAGTTGACCTTTTCGATTACAAGGCGTATGTTGAATTCGTCAGGAGAGTCTCCCAACTATACACCATGCCGCAATCGTCTATGAGTCAAGTTTATATTAAAACAAAGATCAAAGAAGAGAGCCATGCCAGGCAGAATCTCGCAAGGTTATCCTGTTTTCTGCCTACGGCCCCCAACTTGGGGGCCAAATCCAATTGCACCCCTGCAAAGAGCCTCAAGATATCTTACCCCGCAACATGAAACATTGTCGTATCAGGGGCGATATACAGGATTGGCAAGGCATGCACTGTGTTACCCCAGTATTCTTGACAGAGAGCAGGAAAACGTCAGACCTTGATATAGGGTATTAAAATAAACCCGACAAAAAATTATCCTACGTATATACTAAACTTATGCTAAATTAGCTAATAAGTCTTTCTGTTACTTAAAATTAAGGTCCTGAGTTTTCTTTCCTCCCCTAGAGAGTGCAGGCCTGAAGACATTCAGACACAGCACCAAGTTCTCAACGTAGTCTAAGCAGCTTCACGAACTTTACAGCTAACTACCTCTTCTAAGATCCCCTGGTCCTACCAAAAATGGAAACTGGGCAATGTCCTTCAGCCCCCGCAACAATAAGGGCACGCCATCAAAGCCACTCCCTATATGGCGTGACCAGTAGCGTTGAATGCTTCTGCCCGACCCTTCAAGCATGCTACTGAATATGATCAAGAACAGGTATGAGGCACGACCCATTTCTGTTTCTGTCTAGACACCTTGATTGTTGAAATGATTGGCAACTGTATTATGAGCTACCTACAAAACAATTTGTTATATAGTCCACAATAGACAAGGAACCGACCCTGTACAGGAGTTATGGGAAAAGGATAAAAAGTCGGAGAATGTGAGAAGACAAGGATATACATCCAAGATTTAAGAAAGGTATGGACTACAAGAGAAGCTGATCAGTCACTATCCGATGCTTGCAGTCAGGCGCACCTTACCACTCTAATATGAAGCCAGCGGTGGCCAGCTTATTAAGAACCCCAAGATCGAACTTGCTAGAGCCTTTCGGAAGCCCTCGGTGAGCGGTTGGCTTCCAGACTTTTCAAGTAGCAGTTCCTTATCGGCTGCAGTGCTTGTTATAGGACACCTTTCTGGTACAATTGGCTCTGCTGACCTGTGGCCTAGGTTGAACATTGCTTTGTAATAATAACAGAGAGCTTGGTAGATGCAGAATGCAAAAATTGTGGATTTTAGAAATTAGATGCAGAGGTAATGATTGATTTGGAGATGGCTGAAATAAGGAAAACAAAGGCCTACGCCTTGTTTGATCAGTAATCACGAGGGCACAATCGGAGACAGTGACTAAGCCAATCCGCACTGAGCATCAATATGGTGGCTTGCAGCATGCATATCTGCTTCTGTGCCTTAAAGCAGAGAAGGTAACTGGCTTTCAGTCTGAAGAACCAAGAAATCGATTGTTGGTCAGTTCATTGAAAGGTTCCACGTTCTTGATCTGAATCATTCTGAAGAATGACAGCTATATCACAGGGAAACTGAAACCCAACCCAGCTTATATACTGACTTGTCATCGCTCGCAGTGCCGTTCCAAAGTTCCTCAAGACCCTAAAGTACTGCAACCGATCAACCTCCCTGAGAGCTGACCTTGGGTTTGTGAAATTGAATCTTGACCTCGGCGAGCAGCACCTGAGTTCGAACCCAGACGTGATGAGCAAAAGCAGCATCTTCCGAAATGTATGAGATCTGAACTGAGAGGCTGCACTACTGTCGTATCACTGCGAGACATGTGGGGCTCTAAGAGCAGCTATATCAGCTGTTCACTTAATAAACGGAATTATTATGTAATGGCGATCTTGTGTGGTGCAAGACAGGCGCTACCGATCAGTAAACATAAGAAGAAGCAACGCCAAAAGTGAAGACGGCTGAGACCAATTAAAGAGCCTTCACTTACCTGGGGGTTTAGTGTGCCCAGTTCAGAGGCACACATCGCAGCCTACTAGCCATCAGTTCGTTTAATAATACCAATCTGTAGCTGACCAATCACTGGTAATAGCCTGTAATCAACCAGAGCGTCATGAGAGCCACTCCGGCACTAGCTGCTTTGGTGCTACCGATTGAATTCTTGCACGCCCCAGGATGATTCGATGTCTTGTGAGGGCATCAACTTGCTCATTTTGGAGGCGGATCTAGTATTCATAGAAATGGAAATATCAGAGAGAAGTCTATTTATAAAAGCTAGTGTACTAGTTGACATGTGCCAGGAGGCCAACTCTGGATCATCGACATTTCCTTGCGTTGAGAACACATCAACTCATGAGTATATGTTCAAGGTACTGTTCTACCAAGCGATGGGCGTACCGTCGTAATTTTGAAAGGTTCCACTGAGTTCTTTACTGGCCTTATCAATAACATTGACCAAAGACGTGACACTGGTCTCGATGGTGATAGACCCATAGGCGGAAAGCTGTTCAGTAGAACCATTACCAAAAGCTGCGGCAGCCATTTCGGTCTCTACCAAGCCAGGGTGAATGACGAAGCTAGTAAGCCAAGGCTCCTCGAAGTGGAGACGTCGAATGAACCAGTTCAGAGCAGCCTTACTGCCGCCGTAAGGGCTGGTGGTAGAGGGCAGTCCCACCAAGTGTTCCATGGAGCCCATGGAGCCGAGCAGCGTTGAAATAGCAACGAAGAGGGGCTTTTCGGTCTTGCTGGCCTGCAGGAGATCTGCCACAGCTTGAAACAAAACAATAGGGCCGATGGTGTTGACCTCGAAGTGCTTCTTGATGTTGTCCACGGTTGTGTCACGAACTAGACCGCCATCGCTTGCAATCCCGGCATTGGCGATGACGATATCAAGGGCCTTAATGCCATGTTCGTTCTTAAGCGTAGCAACAGCTGCGGCAGCGTCGGAGGGCACGCTGGAGTCAAGCTTGACGATGATGAGCTTGGAATTATTGCCTACTGGCAGATACTGGAGAGCCTTGGAGGTTGGGTGGGAGGGATCGCGGACGCCGACAATGACGATGAACGATGGTCGAGCAAGAAAGATCTCGACAAGGCCTTTGCCGATTCCACGGTTTCCACCAGTGATGAGGACTGTAGATGGAGAAGACATGGCGGGTTTGTTTGGACGAGTGTTTAAGAGTATGAGTTATGGTGATAGGAGTAATAACTGTTGCGATGAATGGGTTGATTCTGCTGTATTTGTTTCCTTGTCAAGTGCAAACAGTCGTTATATATATTAATCCGGGCATAGCACAAGACCAGTATTTGGTTCTAGGTACTGCCTCCAGCCTATTGGAACTACTCAAATGATTGAAAACACCTATGGATTTGTCAACACGATGAATTCTTCTTGAATCATCACGGTTCTAGGACATTTACTAAGATTCATGTTGTATAATCAAACAGCCTTTCCTAATTGAGTAGGATCAATGTTATACAGTCCTACAGCCCACTAACACTAAATTAATGAATAGTAATCACTCGGCGGTTTTAGTCAATTGGTGGATTTCCCGCTATGGGAACTAGGTCGGCCATTCACACAGCCAAGGGGTTAATCTTCGGGATTTGCATCTCGGAGCATTTCATACCGAGCTCCGACAAGATCATGTGTAGTGGACGCTGTTGCTGGTCTTATCACATACCTCGAGTACTCCGTATATGGGGTCATATTCCTTACCCAACCCAGCGACACCTATCGAAACCATTCCGCCTATCACACAAAAGCCCTCTCGTCGATTCATGTACTACAATGGCCGAGCTGTTGCCCTGATGAAGCAACAGAACAACTCGCAAGTATGGCCAACTGGTTTTATAGATACCGGCGTATTCATTCGCGACGCCATTAACGGAATCAACACTTTGGGTCTCGTGTCTGATGGTCTATTTCTGTGGATTGCTCAGAACATGCCCGCAATGGGAAATCCTCATGTGGGGGGCAATGACCTTCCTTCTGGAGGCCTATACGGCAGCACTGTACGTAAACACTCCATTATTCGCTCCAGCTGTAATGGTCACGATCCCAGTGCGGGATGACCCAGCTATAAAATGTGAGAGTAAAGTTCTGATAGTGTCACCGTGTGAATCAAAGACAGCGATATTGTATTGGCTTTCTATAATGTTAATGGTTTATTTGATCTGCTGCAAGGCGTTGTTATTATTATAACCACCGCCTTTGACCGCATCGTCACCGCCATCGATCAGGGTTGCTCTGAGGACGGTGCCGCGGCAATGCTGACTGTTGGAATGTTATTGATCGTGATAATACGAGGTGTCTGTCTCATTGGCCGTCTTTGTTCGCGCTGGGGGATTGTCAACGAGAAGACAATGGAGCAGTCACCTCCAGGTACTGGAATCTGGAACGTATCTACGCCTAGAACACCAGTTAAAGTGATAGAGCGTTCAAGAGTTGGCTCCACGACGCAAATTCAGGTCAATATTCTTTGGCTTGAATGAGCTGAAGGAGGAGTCTTATCTCTCCACAATTATCTGTTGCAAAGTCTCAATGGCCTCAACTCTGTTCGCTCTAATCGGCCAATTCAGTTGTTTCACCCAAAAAGGCGACCCATTCTAGATTCATTCACAGTGCAATCATCTTTTCACCTTTCCAATAGCTTTGCATAAGCTTCGGCGCTATTACTTCTGAACAATCCAGTAATAGCAGCTTACAAGGAACACCTGATACTAAGTCAAATGCGATTCGTTAATGGGCCATTGGAAACATTGGAAATACGATAACCCAGGCAGCATCTAGATGACAACAGGCATGCAAACCCCGCAGCGTCGGACAGAAATGACCTGACAACCCAGCCACTGATAGAACCCTAGTAACTTTCGTGTCACTCTCTGCACCATATTCTACCGCAACATCCCGCAGGGCAGAGCTTGCAATCGTAGCCGACAAAGTCACCCCATTTACTAGACACACGATACCCGCCTCGGTAATGGGCGTTGCACGCCATGCCGTTAGATCTACCACGAAAGCAGGCTTGCGAAATTTCTTATCCCCAGACCCCTAATTCTTAGCAGGCGGCCACGTACGTAGCAACAGAGGCGCTACCCAAACCCCAGCCGCTGGCTCTAGACCCTTTCAGGCTAACGGCCGCATGAATGTTAGCGTCTGCAGGGATCACAGCCCCCAGAGCGAATGTGACGTGCAAACTTTGACGTAGTTGGCTTGAGTCTAGACCAGTGGCTTTGGAGTTGGTCCCGATAGAGAAAAGCAGCTCTGCGGCAATGGTCTTATCGGGGTTCAGGGATTGGTTGAGGACCTGGAAAGATGTTCCGGATTTGAACCAGCACCTATCGCCGTAGAGTCTCTGCGCTTCGCAACGTCGAGGGTCTGCGAAGATGATGGAGTAGGCTCGTCAGTTGCAGTTGCACAAGGAGCAGAAGGTGTCTGCGCTGCAGCAGCACGATGTTCGAGGGGTGTCATTCCTGGATTCGAGTCAAGAGTCTGAGCGGGCATAAACTCGTCATCTATCATGGTACTGCTGCCACCATCATCCCCATCGCCAGGGGCGAGCAGCATAGGGCTACCCTTTGTAGGGACGTAGAGCACAACCCTCTTGGTTTTGGCCTGATTAACAGCCTTGACTTGACTTTTCGAAGGTCACATAGTGAGCTCATAGAGTTTGCTGCTCGGTGTTAATAAAGTATCACATACCTCAATATTTAGGGTTCTCTTTCTAAAGTAAGACAATATCACATGCCTCAATATTTAGCTTTCTATCTCCAAAGTAGACAATATCACATACCTCAATATTCAACTTCCTCTTTCCGGCCTCAATACCTGAATGATAGACTGTTAGACTGAACTTTACTTTGGTGAAATTTATACAAGCAATACATAAAACAGCGGAATGAAAACTCTTTATAGACCAGTAGCATTATATAAGGGACATACAATCACCATACTATTTCTTTTCATCAACATCTTTTACACCAATTCACTGTCTACAAGCTACTACAATATTTCTATTTAAAACTGTTCAACCACTATGGCTAACCCTCAGTTGTGCCTTAGGTGGGAAGGTGGTGGGGAGTGGTGGCTGGACGGGCCAATGGGTTCCGTTCAGTTCACTTCTGAGGCTGCTGTGGATGTCTTTGTTGAAACAATGACTGCTGGCCCCGATGCACTGATGGGTTATGTTTTGTCCGGTGACGTATTCCCAGGCATTGAAGCGGGCAATACGGTTGCCGCGGACTATTTTTTCGCAAACTGGTTGGAGGCCACAAATGAGCTTTACCAGTATGGACGCGCGGGGTCGTTTCTCGCCGAGGATGTGGGTGCAGATAGCATCCTAAGCTGTCTCGTCGAAGCCGGAGAGTGGCTTCTTGCCTTGGGTATCAATAAGAGTAAGGTCTCCTCAACCCTACTGCAAGATTATTATAACGGCTAACGACATGAAGGTGTTGTCTCTGGCATCAAGGCTACTGCCGAGCCGACTCTCACGCATGAGGTCAAGAGGCCGATGAAGGATACGCTGAAGGCATTGGTTAATAGTAAGTTCGGAGATTTATACAATGTCCGTATTTGTGGACGAAGCAGTCGTGATAACCATAAATATAGACCCAGAGGTTTTCGCAAAGGCTACCGAACGAACCAAGCAGCTCAGAGCCGACAGAAAGAATACGGATTCTTCTAAAGCTGCAGTACAGCTCACTGGCCCTTCGAGTCCGGATTACAGTATCACCTGGTGGAATCAAACAGGCGGTGATCTTCTGACTTTGTATTTGTCTGGTATCTGGCCCGCAAGCCTTATGACCATTCACTCCATGCCAGCTAAGGAGTTTAAAGTTGCCGACCAATCTCTATCATGGTCTTGGGCATTGGGAGGCTTCGACCATGGCCCTATGGATGGCTATGGTGTTTGGAAGTTTCCAGATGGGAAATGGTTTGGTGTTAATGTTCACTGCCCTACACAGTTCATATGGATCGGTACGGCACCTTACTATGAGGTTTGTTGGTCAGAGACCGATAAAAACAACTGGTTTAACCCAGTCTCTGACCCTGCGACCCCCTTTTCTTTCCCTACATCTCTTGGCTATAATATTAACATCAAGACTACATGTGACCATACTAGTATTTCTGTTACAGTTTTTATTCAGAAAATTATATAAGTTAGTTTTGTTTAGGTTTATAAAGAAGGCACTTTTTCCTTATGTTAAGTTATTATTAGACTTAAGTAATATTTAATCACTAAATAGCTTACCTAGATTAAGTGAGATTAAAGCTACAAAGAAAGGTAAGGAAATATGCTGTTTTACTTCTAATAATAATTAAAAATATAGGAATCTTGCCTTATTTAGCTTTTGGTGGGCTTCACTCCTTAGCTCTTACCCTCCCATGCAGACTTCAGCAGCTCATGGGCCTTGGTAAACTTGTAGTCTGGAAAAGTCTGATTCCATTCATCCGAGACGGTCCAAGCTCCACGGTGGAAGGCAGTCAGAGTGCCAATGACCACCATCTTGGAGAAAGCTTCCACCTGATCCTGGGGAACCGATGGTAGTGGAAGTCGGGGATAGTTGTTAGTCTTGAGTTCTCCAGCTGCGAGGTCTTCCATCTTGAGCCACTCGATAGTAAAGGGTTCTCCTGTGTGAAGTCAGTACCTTTTTTTCCTTTTGTTTGGCCGGTATGCTCACCTCGTAGTTCTTCTCCAATCTTTAGAAGCTGACGAATAGAGATTCTATCACCACTGATACCCCCAATCACGGGCCATTCGCCTTCAAAGTCGATGGCCTTGGTGACTATGTTGGCAATGTCGTTGACACTTGTATAAGTGATCTCATCGTCAAGGGTATCTTCGACAACTATAGCATGTTTCTTGACAAGATCGACATTGACGACGGTGGTGGTGATGTACTTTGCAGTCTTGTACGGATGGCAAAGGTAATCCATAAAGCCACCGGGTTGGAAGAGTGTATACTCGATAACCTAATTGACCAGGTTAGCTTCTGCAGTGAAGAAGGTCTCTGGGCTATGCTACCTTTCTATCAGAGTTTAGGTTCTTGAGGTACTCTCTGATCTCAATCTTTCCGCTATACCATGACATGACATCTAGCGAGTCTGCGAGTTTGGCTCCTCTGAAGTATAGTAAGTCGGAATGATACTTGTCGCTGCTCAATATAAAACTTACGTTGCCCACTCAGACGGAGCGAACCTCTTCACGCCGGCCTCAACAGCTGCGTCAATGAGTCGCTTTGCGTCTCATTACCCGGATCCAAATGAACGGCAAGGAAAGAGAGAACAGTTTCGACGCCGCGGAATAAATCAACAAGCTCCGACTTGTTTTCGTAATCAGTTTTGGCCCAGGTGACGCCTGGGAGCTCTGGAAATGTAGATGGGTCCTAGGTCTGTCGGTCACCATTCAAACTGGTGAGTGATGGTCAAGATGTACCTTACGGACAAGTGCAGTGATGTTATGCTTCCCAGTGGCGACGAGTCTGTCAAGGATTTCTCTAGCGAGCTCTGAAAATGGTCAATAATTGGGAGAGTGAAATGGCTAGGCTAACCTACCGCTAGAAGCTCCTGCGATAGCGATCTTGACCATATTGAGTGACTTCTAAGTGTAGGGAGATGGGATTTGAGGATACAGTGAAGCTGATGTATTTTTTTTAAGCGACGAGGACATCATATTTATATATTTTCTTTCGCTTTAACGACGAACCCCTTTCGTTAATCAATCCAAAGAATCAGGGACTAGCTTTGCTCCGAACACGTAACCTCAATCGTTCAACCTTTTGGTGATACCGAGTCGGCCTGAGCTGTCTCCGGCGGTTACGTGATCGGGGCAATTGGTGCCAATCTCCAGCCAATCAGGTCAAGGCATCTCTGCTTACTCTCCCGCTGCAATCTTACAAATCCGAGATGTGGACTGTAGATTGTCAAGAAATTATGTTTTTTGACCAGTAAAAGACCCAAACGCAACCTACAAGCACAAATGGGTATTGTAGAGCCTCAAGATGAACTGACGGTGAGTTCCTCCGCATGAGTCTGTCCGTCCAAGCCCCAGACGCTAACAAGGGCTCTCAGCGTCGTCGTGAGCGAGGCCGACGCTCCCAAGCAGCTTTTCGCAAGAGGCAGGCCCTATCAAACCATGCGCTAGCAGATCAAAATGCATGTCTGAGGCAAGGTATACAGAGACTACTCGATGCAGCTCAAGGCGATGAGCGACCTAGGATGCTTGGCATCTTTCGTGAGCTTGCACTCGCTGCTGATCTTGAAGTTTCACCGAAACTCGCCATGGGAGGGACAGGGCTTTCGAGCACTGAGGCTTCAGATGGCGATACTCCCACCACAGATACCAACAGCTTCCAGAGCTTGTTCGGCGACATTCCCCTGCCAGTGAACCCATCGCAAACAACCCAGTATCGTCTCCAGTGTAGCATGTGGCTAGACCCATTGCATTACCTCCGCGTCTCGCTCCCTCCTCAAGATATCTTGCCATACCTTGGCGCTGGTGCAGAGACATTTGCTGGTCTTCTCTTCTGGTCCGTCATGGAGCATTACCAGACAGTATGCACGCAACACAACGCCAAAACAGTCATCCAAAAAGGTCTGAAGCACTCCAAAGCCACAGCAGACATCAAGCCCTCTTTCATCGAAACCATGGCAAAGGCAAGAGTCGAGTATAAGCAAACCGGTTCCATCAGCCAAGCACATGCTGTCGCCGCTGAAAAGGATCTGGGGCTTGTACTGTGCAATCTCATTGAGACAGAGTATCGATCCACGGGCAAGGATCCAGACCAATGGCTATCGTGTATTGGGATTGAGAAACGACTAAAGAAGACAATGAGTGATGATGTGTTGGAAAACTTGAGAAATGCTGCGCTTGGGCAAGGGAACACAGGCCTACACTATTTACTGGAAAATGCCAAGTGCAGGCTGTACGATAGCTGTGTCTGTTTTGGGGATGGACCTCGATGGGATGTGAAGATTGTTGATGAGCTGTTCGCTCCTTTTATAGAATACTGAGGAGAAAGGAACATGCTGAAATGAAAAGAGGCACTTTGTTATAATCTTTCTTGAACCCAACATTTTCATGTCCTTGTTGAGTTGGGCGACTATGACTAAGTGGCAAAGGATTATTAGTTCAATGCTACATAGCTCAATTTCGAGGATGTTTTCGACACTAGAGAAACGCTATAAGTTCAATTGGTAGACAGCAGATCCCTAATCCCTCTACCGAGCCCTCACGGGGAGGGCATGCCGTTTTGTACTAGATATGACGACTAAGAGTGACCGTTTGTGGAATCAGTTACGAGACCGTCGTCTGTGAACTTGTACCTCTCCTCCAGATCCCAGTACTTGTTGAATCCAACACCTTCACAGACTTCATTATATGAAAGAATCATAGGCGGCTTCCCCACCGTCATACTCTTCTTGAGTTCTTCCAAAGTCTCGCGGATACTCTTGAGCTTAGCAGCAACAAGCGTCCAGGGATAAGCCACAGCACAGAACCCAAGTTCTGCAAGGTCTTTTGCGGATAGGTTCTCGGTCTTTCCTCCTTCAATGACTAACACAATAAATCATCACTCATGTGAGCGACTAGGGTAAGATCGCACCCAAGCGGAGTAACTTACTGTTTGCAAATGTAGGGATTCCAATTTCTTCTACGCATCGCCGCATAGACTCACGATCGGGAAGGGCCTCGACAAAAACGGCATCGACACCGATTCTCTTGAACTCCTTCGCACGGCTCAAGGCCTCCTCCCAGCCGTGGATCAGAGCGTCGGTTCTCGCTAGGATAAAAATATCCTTGCCTTGATCGCGAGCGTCGCAAGCAGCCTGGATACGAGCATATGCCTCGCCACGAGAGACGACAGACTTGCCCTTGGTATGGCCACAGCCTGGGGCACTTAGCTTTAGATCATCCTGGTAGTATGCAAAACTTACGCTTTGGCCAAGTTTGATCCTCAATCATGATTCCAGCAGCGCCGGCGTGGACATAACTCTCCACCGTTCTTTTCACATTCAGTGGGCTGCCGTAGCCTGTATCTCCATCTGCCATGACAGGCACAGAGACCTGCCGCACTGTTTCCTGGATCTTATCGCACACCTCAGCCATAGCGATATAACCAGTGTCAGGCAAACCATAAGCACTAGCCACAGCATACCCAGCAAGGAAGATCATTGGAAAACCAGCTTCCTCACAGAGTCGCGATGAAAGACCGTCATAGCTGCAGCAGTGGGCGAGGATCTTGGTAGGGTCATTGTGAGCTTCAAGTATCATTGTGCGAAGAGCTGACGCGTGGACGGATGGGATCTTGCCGCGGACGTTCTGCAGAGTACCCGTTACATCTGCGGTCTGGCCGGGCTTGCCAGGCTTTTGCAGGGTTGGGGGGTTGAATGGGAAGGGGTAAGGGGTGCTGTTGACGATGGACTTGGACATTGTGAATGGGGGTATTTAATGCTGATGTGTGCTATAGGATTGATGAGATGATTGATGAGGAACAGTCGAAACAAAGACGTTTAAGAAACACCTTATATAGGTGAGGTCTAGGAATAGGTAAAGGTTCGAGCCCGTTGAGATTCGGATATGCTCGGAAAGTGACGGATACTCATCTATCCGGAGCAGAGCAAGCTCCGGATCTACGAATACCTCCCCGGGTATTTCTCAGAAAATCTGGGGTATGCGGGGTCCCCGCATCTTGAATCTGGATCCTGGATCAGATGCCCCCTTTCTGCGAGCTACAAACTTTGAACCCCGGAGACTGACGGGATCTGTCGAAGATAGCTCCACAGGGTTGCAAAAGCGATAGGCCATCTCTCGACTACTAAAACCCCTTGAACCCCCCCGACAATCCCAACTCATCAAGCTTCATCTATATTCCCAATTAGCCTTTTGGTACTCCATCATGATGAATCACCCAGAGTCTGAGCACAAGATGTCCCTGGGCACAAAGGAACTTGAACATGCACCAGAACATCATGAACAGCAACGCGTTGACGTTCCCGAAGAGGCCAACAAGCGTATCAAGAAGACAGTAAGCTACTACCAGTGCTACATATAACAATTATACTGATGGTTATCTAGTTCGACCGCCGTCTTCTTCCTATCGTCTGCTGCCTCTACATCCTATCCTATCTCGACCGAGGAAATATCGGCAACGCCAAAACCGCCGGCGCAAAAGACGACCTTGGTCTCAGCGACTGTGAGTGGGCATGGGTCCTCAACGCGTTCTACATCTGCTACGTTTGCTTCGAGTGGACCAGTGTTTTCTGGAAGATCTTCCCTGCGAGTAAATACGTCGCCGCGCTTTGCGTTTGGTAAGCAAGTCTCCATCTCAAGGTGACCATGATAGGCATTAATCGTGTGTTTCTTGTAGTTGGGGAACAGCAGCCATGTGCGCTGGTGCTGTGCACAATCTTGGTGGACTTATTGCTTGCCGATCGCTGCTTGGTATATTCGAGGCTGCGTTTGGTGCAGGTGCACCGTATTTTCTGTCCTTGTTCTACCGTCGTGATGAACTAGGCTTTCGTGTTTCTCTCCTCCTGGGGATGTCGCCGTTGGCGAATTGCTTCGCTTCTGCGTTGGCGTACGGTATCACTCATATCAGTGGCTCACTGGAGCCTTGGAGATACCTCTTCATCATCGGTACGTGGAAATACCTTTGCTCAGTCGCCTGGCTCTCAGCTTTCTGACTATTTTTCTTCTGTAGAGGGCGCCCCTACTGTAGCTTTCTCCGTCGTCGCTTGGTTCTTCCTATTGTATTAAAGTTAAAGTATATTTTCTAACCTTATAATTAACTTATTAACTTAACTCTGCTACTACCTTCTAATTACTTTAAACCTTTTTTTTAACCTTTTTCTT